CACAGGAGATCCCAAACAGCTAAGGTGATCTTTAGAAGAACAAAGTTGGAAGTATCACAAGACCTGATGTCACACTATAACTACAAGGCTATAGTAGTCAAAACAGCATGGTACTGTCATAAAAATAGACACATATCAACGGAACAGAATTAGAGAACCCATAAAACAAGCAATGCCTATAGGGTCAATTAATCTATGACAAAGGAGGCAAGAATATACAATGGGGTAAAGACAATCTCTTCAATAAATTATGCTGGAAAAACTGGACAGATACATGCAAAAGAATAAAACTGGATCACTTATACCATATACAAGAATAAACTCAAAATGGATTAAAAATTTAAATGTAAGACCTGAAACCATAAAACTCCTAGGAAAACATTAGCAATAAACTCTTTGACATTGCTCTTAATAATATTTTTTTGGCTATGTCTCCTCAAGGGAACCAAAAGAAAAAATAAACAAATGGAACATCAAACTAGTTTCTGCACAGCAAAGGAAACCATCAACAAAATGAAAAGACAACCTACTGAATGGGAGAAGATATTTGCTGATGACACATCCAATAAGGGATTAATATCTAAAATATATAAGGGATCATACAACTTATCGAAAAACAATCCAATTATAAAATGGGAGAGGAGCTGAATAGGCATTTCTCCAAAGAGGATATACAGAGGGCCAAAAGACATATGAAAAGATGTTCAACATCACTAATCATCACGGAAATGCAAATTAAAACCACAAATTTATCACCTCACACCTTCAGAATGTCCATCATCAATAAATCAACAAACAAGTGTTGCCAAAGACGTGGGGAAAATGGACCCCTCATGCACTGCTAATGGGATTGTAAATTGGTGCAGCCACTATGGAAAACAGTATGGAGTTTCTCAAAAACTTAAAAATAGAACCATATGACCAGCAATTTCACTTCTGAGCATTTATCTGAAGAAATCCAAAATACTAATTCAAGAGATATATGCATCCCTATGTTCACTGAAGCATTATTTACAATAGCCAAAATATGGAAGCAACCTAAGTGCCCATCAATAGGTGAATAAAAATGTGGTACCTATATCCAATCCAATGGAATATTACTCAGCCATAATGAAGAAGGAAATCTTGCCATTTGCGACAACATAGATAGACCTAGAGGGTATTGTGCTAAGTGAGATAAGCCAGACAGAGAAAGACAAATACCACATGATTTCCTTTATATGTGGAAATGAAAAACATAAAAAATAAACGAACAAACAAAACAGAAAAACTCATAGATACAGAGAACAAATTGATGGTTGCCAGATAGGAGAGGGATGGGTTTGAAAAGGTGAAGGGATTAAGAGGTACGAATTACCAGTTAGGGATATAAAGTACAGCATGGGGAATACAATCGATAACACTGCAATAACTATGTATGGGGTCAGATGGGTACTAGACTTATCAGGGTTATCACTTCATAAGCTATATGTCTAAATCCTATGTCATACAACTGAAACTAATATAGTATTGTATGTGAATTGCAATAGAAAATTTTTTAAAAATTTAACAAATAATTTGTACTAGGCAGGAGAAGAAATGAGAGAGATAAGTGGGATGTTGAGATTTAAGTGTGCAATGTAAGGCTCCTTATTCCAAAAAAGAAACCAGAAGGATTGAGGAGGACCTAAGCAGTAAAAGCTATCCAAAACCAAACAACACTCAGAATTCTTTGTAAGAATACTGGTAGCTCTTTAAATTAAGCACAGACTTGTAGGTAACTCTCTCTGAGAAAGCATAACAGGAATGAACAGACAAAGACAAATACAGAGAGAGAGATAATATAATCTGATGATCGATTAGATTTCGAGAGTAGGAAGGAAGGGAGAATTAAAATGTATGAAATTACAAAGCGAGGTTACTGGGAGTTATTATGATTTTGTTAACCTAAAAAGGGAACAATAGATCAGGATTCAGAGTTGAGGGAGGAAAACAGGTGCAGTTTTGAGTATAACGAATTTGGGTATACCTGTAGGATGTCTAGTTTAAAATGAAGCCCAGGAAGAGGTTGATACCTCACAAAGATTTGGGCGTCCTGAGCCAAATAGATGTAATTAGAAACCATTGGGAAAGAGATCATCTACAGAGCAACTTCAAGGCGAGAAGACGGCCAGGGACAAAGCTTTGGAGATTATCTGCATTTTGGAGAAAGGACAGATAGGAGAAGGTAAAGGAGACTGGGGATAGCAAGAAAAACAGGTGGAAAAACGGCGTGGAGATGGAGATGCGTAACCATAACGACAGCACCACTTCCACAGAATGAACACCACAGATCAGACTTTGTTGTAAGCATTTTATCTGTATCAACCTGTTGTTTAACACTAGTAATAACCCTATAAGACGGCTATTATAATTACTCTCACTTCATAGGTGTAAACTGAAGAAGAGAGAGGTGAAGTAATTTATTGATGGACACAACTAAAATGGCAGAGCCAGAATCTGAACCTAGAAAGTCTCTCCATAGACAAGAGTTTCAAAGAAGGGCAGCCGACAATGTTAAATGTTGCAAAGAAGTAGAGTTGAATCTGAAGTCCTCAAAGTTGGCAATTAGGAGGTCACTGACGGGAACATAAACCAGAATAAAGTGGGTTAAAAAGTTAATGAGAAGTGAAAAGTCGACCTACAAAAGTTTTGCAAATTAGATAGCTGATAAGGGGCTATCTAAAATATATAAAGAACTATTATAATTTGATAATAAAAAGACAACCCAATTTTCAAAAATGGGAAAAGGGTCTGAATAGAAAGTCCTCCAAAATATACAAATGGCTAAGAAGCACATGAAAAGACACTTAGCACATTAGCCATATGAGAAATAGCCATCAAGATGTACAAATTACAATGAGATACCACTAAACACATGCTAGGTCAGCTACAATCAAAAAGTCAGATAATGACAAGTGCTGACACTGATGTAGAGAAGATGAAACCCTCAAACACTGCTAGTGGGAATGTGAAATAGTGCTGTCGTTCTGAAAAAGTGTGGCAGTTCCTCAAATGGTTAAACAGAGATATCATATGACCCAGCAATTCAACTTCTAGGTTTATATCCCAGAGAAATGAAAACATGTCCACACAAAAACGTGTCTATGAATATTCATAACAGCATTATTTATAATAGCCCCCAAACATAATCCAACTGTCCAAGAAGTGATGAGTGGATAAAGTAAACGTGATATAACCATACAATGGAATAATTGGCAATAAAAAGGTATGAAGTATTGATATATGCTACAACCTCAAAAACATTATGGTAAGTGAAAGAAGCCAATCACAAAAGACCACATCCTACTGTATGATTCTGTTTTTATGAAATGTCCAAATAAGCAAACCTACAGAGACGGAAAGCAGATTGGTGGTTGGGGCGGGGGGAGGGGTAGGTAAGGGGAAAAGAATGCAGAGATTTGGGGAGTGATGGCTAAGCAGTGTGGGGTTTCTATCTGGGGTAATAAAAATGCGTACCCATTGCCACAATCAAATTTAGAATAACTCTGAGAGTCTACTAAAAGCTTTGAATTGTACACTTTAAATTGGTGAATTGCATGGAATTTGAATTTTATTTCAATAAAGCTATTTTTAAAAAGTTAATAGGAAATGCTTGAGTGGGGAGGCAAGGTCAAAGGAAGATTTTTCAAGGTTAGGGAAGATTTGAATTTAACAGTTTAACGGTTGAGATAAATTAGTGGAAAAAGGGAGCCTGATACAAAAAAACACATCACAGATTAAGCAAAGTCCTACAGGGATCGATAGGAACAAAAAAAGAAAAATGTGACACCTCTGAAAGTAAAAATGAGCAAAGATATAGATAACTAGTGTGAAGGTAAGTTCAGAGTTCATACTTGAAGGATCCTATTGTTTACTGAGATAAAGGAGGTCTGCAGCTGATAGAAGAGGGTGAGATATGAGTAGAAAGTCCAGAAAAGTAGTAAAAGTTGGGAAAACTGCTGGCAAGAATGGGAAAAGAAAACAAAGGATAAAAAGCTTGTCAAGTAGAACTGAGCAGTGTGAAAATAGAAATAAGCCTTCGTGGAGCCAGTATGTGTGATTATATGATATTCTCAGCTAGATTGGTCAAACCAGAGTTTATGAACTCAGACGGCAGATGACTGCGCTCTTTTGGGATTGAAGGTTGCAAAGTGTTGGTAAAATGCTTGATCACAAAATCCCACTGAGTGATGAACACAGTGATACCAGAAGAAGATGGATGTTTCAAAGGAAGAACTGGATTTAATGACTGAATTGATATGGAAGCTGAAGATGGAAAACAAAGAATTAAACAAGACTGCTGATTACCTGGTAGAACTGACAGACTAATGACCAAAACAGCTATAGAGAAATGATGACTCAAAAATATACTGTAAAGTTTAGATTGAAAGAACTTCTTAGAAGAACCCTGTTATTTTGAAAAGGAATAGGAATAAAGGCCCAGAGAAGTGAAGTGACTTTGTTGAAGTCAGAAGACACTAAACATTGGCTAGAAAGGATTTCAAACTCCAGGCCATTCTATTACAATACCACAGACCCTCACCGATATCTGGAGCTGGACATGATGGCAGGAAATAAAATGGTGATGCTGCATGAGGGGACTCAGTAACACTAAATTGGTTTGAATTGCTAGGTTCATTTCAGGTGATAGTGGGGAAATATGATTCAGGAACAAAATGAATGACAGGAGAAGCCAATCTGAGATAAAACATTTGCTCTGGTAAATCACATGGAGATAATCAAGAGTTGGATGTAGAATGGCATAAGCACCTTAAAATATTCTAATGTAAGAACATTTTATGCTTCAAAATTCTCTGTGTTACTTGGCAATATAGATGACAGGACATAAATTATTTGGCTTAGAATTTTAAACATTAAGAAGAGCTTTGCTTACTTTTAAGGTTCTTTTTATCTTACAGAAATATGAAACACTGAAGTCTGATTAGGTCTCTTTTAAGGGGCTAGATTTTTTGCCTTACCTTTACTACCTTGTAGTCACACAAGTATTCCACCTCATAATTGTTTAGATTCCTTTTGGTGATTCCAATCGATTTACATGTGAGTTTTTCTTTTCTACATAATTCCTGAAGAGTATCAAGTGAAACTAGGCAAGGCACACACCAAGCTACAATAAGAAAATAGAATTCTTTACTAATGAAATAGCTACTCAATTAAAACAAAAAAGGAAAAGGAAAAACTTAAGACCTCTATATCCCCACCCTTCTACTGGCAATTGTACAGGACTGAAAATTCATATGACAAGAAACCATTTCTGCGTCTTTAAAAAAAGTTAATTGTTAAGGAACTATTTCGGTAAATTAATCTTGGGTTTTCTCACGGGTTTCTATCCTACTCTGTTTAACTGATGTCGATTCGTTTCTACTGAGCCGCCTGAACAAAATGTTTCATGTCTGTAAGCTTTCTTAAGATTACATGTAGATGCAAAGGTCAAAAGAAATAATATTTTTGACTTTTCCATTATATTCTACATAGAACTGCTATTTTAATAAAATGTAAATCTCTAGGACATACTTTTTGTGAGAAATATATCTTAAATATATTTTAAAATAACCGCTTTGCTAAAAAGTAACTTTTCCCCTTTCTCTTAGTTACATAAGAACTGAGATCTAATTGAAATATAGTTACATATTCACACATATGTCCTACTCTTCCCACTTTGCAATGCTGCATGAAATTTTAACTCCATTTATTACTTTGTCCATGCTGCAATGTATTTTTATAAGGTGAATAAACCCAAGAGTCATAATAAAATAAAGGAATATATCAACTTTTGTAATATTCATTTCTTGTATTGTTTTTAATGCCAAGAGTTAACCAAGCTTGAAAACAATTAGACACACTCATAATCAAACTTACAAATGCCAGTAACTGTGCTGCAGATTTCATCCTCAAATTTTTATATGCAGTCTGCTACCATACTATATATAAAATGTTAACACGAACTGATGTTTAGAATTCTGAGATAAACTTGGTTTTACGCTAGTGTTATGGTAAGCACTAGAGAGGAACGAATGTCGCCCTCTGCCCTAGGCTTTGCTAGGCCACCTTGCTACATGACTTTGTGAAATTTTCATCATTCTGGGTTTCAGATTCACTGAAAAACGTGTGAAGATTGGAGCAAACTGGGGTTACCAAACAAAATCAGTAAACTCAAGCTTTACTTGGTAGCTCTCCAAGGTAGTTGTGATAACCCTTCAGTGATCTGAGGTAATTTAGAGAACACAGCTGCTCTCACTATGTATCCATTCCTCACCCTCAACTCAGAGACTTCATTCATTGTCAGAAACCCTGAATGAAGCACGATTTCCACCCACCCCCACTTCCTATAAAAGGGCTCGTAATTCTAGACCCAAGAAAGGGAAAGATATTTTCAACTAAAATATTGGGGGTGGGAGGAGAGGCTGCTTGCTTTGGAGTGATGGTTTTAGGCTTTGGAGAGTGGCAGAACAGAAACGACCCATTAAATCATTTCCATTAAAAAAAAACCCTGAGGATGTTTTGTGTAAAGCTAACCTTATTATGCTGATCACATGCAAAGGAGGTCCGTCTCGGCTATCTCCAACCCAAGGTAATTTATCTGCTGTTCCCATTTTTAACTAGTTCAAGTAAAAAGAGAATTCAAGACACAACAACCCTCGATGAAAATTCTATCGAGTAAAAAACGAAACAAAACAAAACAAAAACCCCCAAACTGGAAGCTCTTGGGTAACAACTTCGACCATCTATTTAACAATGTAGAAAAAGAAATCATTTGCAAGATCAAACATTCATTACCATCACAAAAACCTCACAATAGTTACACTAACCTCTAGTGGAAGAAAAGTTTGTGGATAAAGAGCTCATAATCTATGTGGCAACAAGGAGTGCTGGAAAACACCTTAAATTCTAGAATGCAATTAAAGTTCTAGGTTTTAGAGCGCGCGCACACGAGAACACACACACACACACACGTACACACGTTCTATGCCTAAATATCTGGCGTCTACATAATGATTAACACGCAAGTTCCCGGTGGGTATTAAAAAAAAAAACACCCCAAGCCAGAGGCCACATCCTCAAATACCCACTTACTGGGATATTCTCCGACGAGGAATTTAACCTCCTAGGGCGGCCGAATTGGGGGGTGCATCTTCGCTTATTTCCTTTCTTAGCGGTCACACTGCAGCCCCGATTTTTCTCGCCTCTGACACTTTGCTCGGGTCACACTTACACCACCACCGGGCTCTTCCCGCTTCCCAGCTACAAAGCCAGCCCGAGCGCGCAACGCCCCGCTCACACCACCACA